TTTGTTTATCAAGAATAGGCAGTGAAAAACTTAACATTTAAAGAGTAAGGCCCTGTCTCCTGCCTCCAAATCAGCTTTCTTCACTTAACAAATAATCTCTGACTCTAGGGACTAGAAAATAAAATGTCTGGATACTTTTAGGATTTGGAAGGCATAGTGCAGCTCCACAGGGTTGCTCTGAGAGCTGTGTGCACTCCTCACTCAGGGCCTGGCAGGAGGCGCATTCAGTGGGAGCCATCACTTGTATTATCTACATCAGTCTAAACTCCAGTGTCTCACCTACTTGCATCATCTCTGAAAAACTTTCAAGTCTGGCATCCAGAAATCCAAGGAGAAATTATGAACAGCAAATTCTCCCCTCCCCTGAATTTAGAGATTGTTCTCTGGAGGAGGAAACAACAACAAATAAAAAGCAAACACCCCACAAAACAACAACAAAAGCTCTGGCAGTGGAGTGTGTAATAAAATGTGGCACTGGAAAACAGTAAGGTAGTGAATGTAATTTTGAAAAAACCACGGTGGGAAAAATAAGGAAATAATTATTCTCTGGCAGATAGGCAGCCTTGTGTGAATTTACTGATATTTTAAGGAAACTCAGTATTTCATCTAGGTGAGCCCACAGGGGCTGTTTGCCAACTATATGGGACACCCAAGGGCTGGTTAGCACTGTATGTGGACGCAAGATTTCCCACGTGGTTGTATCAGGATGCTGGTGAGCAATGCTGGCAAAAGGCACGGACAGAGGTATTTACAGTATTTTGTGGCCTACACTTTACAAAGTTTCAGCTGACCACAACTCAGTGGCAAAACGGTAAAAAAAAAATTAAAATCTTTTAAATCCAAAAGCTATTAAATGCTAATGTCAATGTGAATAACTAGGTTCATGCTTTGCTCTGATACCACCAATCTAAATTCGAGGTGACACATTTACTGCTTTTGAAACACATACACGTGCACAGAAACCTAAAGTACATCTGTCCTCACAGGCCAGTGCTCACACACACGCCCTCAGCGAGCACTGCCAACACGTTCAATGGCAGCAAGGTGACGAACAAGGAAATCCAGAGAGAATTCTGCTTTGGACGACAGTAACTGCTACTGCACTTCACTGATTTCCCTCCTTTCTTATCCACCCCCTTCTTCTTTCTGAAGTTTAGAGGGAACTTCTACGAACAAAAATCTTATGAAAAATAATTTATCTCAAACCCATCATTTTTTTTGTTGCACTTCTTCTTTCTTCTTTTTTTTCTCTTTACACTCTTCCTGAACAGTATAAGAAGTTCAGTTTCTTTTTCATCCAAGAATATCTGTAACTATTATTAGTCTTAAAAACATAGATATCAAACATATTGTGAAAATATCTGTTGCACTGTTACTAAACAGACGTCAGACAAAGGAATCATTACACTCACATCTACAGAAGTCGGGCACAATATGGGCTCATGTCCTCAGGGCCTGGATCTGCCTTCCCAGCAATCTACCCAGAACAAGATGGGCCACGATCACGGGCCAGCAAGGGAGACTGTTTGATATAAATCTGACTCTGCCACCTGCTAGCCAGGACACAGGACCCTGCCTGTCCAGATTCTCTCTGTCTCTAAAATAGGATCAGAGAACCTAACTGGAAGGTCGGCTGTGAGGATTAAATGAGATGATAAACATGTGAAATACTCTGAATATCACTTAATAAAAACTGACCATTGCCATCCAGGTAAATGGCAAACTAGTGTTGGAAAGCTGTTTCCCCTCAAATAGGAAGAAGAGAAATAAAATGGTTCCTGAAAAGAAATCTAGGAAATATTTTTCTCTTGTTTCTATAATCACAATTCTCTATTCTACAGCCATATTTTAAATTGCATATTTGCAAGGCATCACATTGCAATAAAATCCAAGAGTGGCCTCCAAGCCCTGAGTGGTCTACCCTCTGCCTTCTCTTCTGTGTTTCATCCAACACACCCATCTATATTGGCCTTCATGTGCAGTGCACATGCTTCTCTCTGTTCTTTCAACAGCAAAGCTCAATCTCTCCTGAGTGTATCAAAAAACAACTACAACAAAAACCAAGAAAATAGGCACACATAAAAATTTACTCAACTTTTAAGAACCTTGAGATGTATGTCTTTTATATTGAAATGTACTAGAAGGTACTAACAAGGTAAACAAAACTGATTATTAAATGGTATAAGTAACAGTTATAAAACAGCCCAGAAAAGTAAGCTATCCATGAGGGAAGAAAAGAAGAGTTGAAATCCACAAACTAAAGGTGTTTAAAAAAATTTTTTCTTAAAGCCAGAAACGTGTTATAGATACTCACTGAAATATTTGATATTAATATGCAACGTCTTACAAAACTAGACAAGCACTTACTACAACACCCAGCAACGGCACCCTTGATCATTTATACCAGAAAATTAAACACCTATGTTCACTCAAAATCCTGTTCACAGCACCTTTATTTGTAAGGTCCAAATGTCCCTCCACAGGTGCACAAAGTGTGGTACATCCATATCACAGAGTAAGAGGAACTAACTGCTGATATACACACAAACTTGGATAAATCTCAAGGGAATGGTGTTGAGTGAAAAGAAGTCAATTCCCCAAAGGTTACATACCATATTATTTCATTTATGGAACATTTCTGAGATGACAATAGTATGGAAATGGTGAACACACTGGTGGTTGCGAGGCTTTAGGTGGGAAGAGGTGGCTAAAAGGGAGTCCGCGGGATCCTGATGATGAGTGTCCTGTATCTTGACTGTGGTAATGGGCACATGAATCTACCCAGGTGATAAAATTACATGAACAGAACACACACACACGAGTGCATATAAGCTGGTAAAACCTGAATAAGGTTGGTGAATTGTATCTGGATCAATTCCTGGTTGTGCCAGCGTACTAGACATAGGAAAAACGTCAGCCTTGGTGGAACGAGGTGAGGGGCACAAGAAGCCACTGTGTTATTTCTTAGAATGGCATTAGTTTAATGTGAATCTACAATTATCTCCAAATGAAAAGTTTTTTTTTAAAAGGCAGAAAGGGCTTCCCGGGTGGCTCAGTGATTGGGAGTCCGCCTGCCGATGTGGGGGACGCGGGTTCGTGCCCCGGTCCGGGAAGATCCCACATGCCGCAGAGCGGCTGGACCCGTGAGCCATGGCCGCTGAGCCTGTGCGTCCCGGAACCTGTGCTCCGCTACGGGAGAGGCCGTGGCAGTGGGAGGCCCACGTACCGCAATAAAAAAAAAAAACAAAGGCAGAAAGATGTGTTGAAGACATCTACTCAAATATTTCGAGTTCGTAAGCAGGCTCCATGTCCCTCTCAACTGTGGAATAATTAAATAATACTCCTCAAATATAGGAAACTTGGGAAGAAAGGCCTCAGGCTAAATTATTACAATTACAGATTAATTTTGTAAACCATAATTTCTCATATCTGAGGGATATAAAGGTAGACTCAGTGAGATATACTATACTTAATATTCAGAACAAAAACCAAGATGTGGTTCATAAATTACTACTAACTCCTAGATTTCTCAAACCCATCAGAAGAAGGAAAAATCAAGCCCGACACAGTGCCCTGGTCATTCAAAATTAACCAAAGCTCAGTAACGCTCTTGAGTCTGAACAGAAGAAGACGGGATTCTGACTGCGGTACTGTGCAAACCCAAAGGTACACCCACACCCTAAGGGGGAGGAGAAGCTGCTGCTCTCGGTTGCTTCTGAACTTCCAGATCTGGCAGCAGTGAAACCAACCTCAGAATGACAATGCTTCTGTGTTTCCACAGTCTATCAAGTCCCAGGGCCATCCTAGAGCTGCACATCCTTCCCATGCAGTTTGATTTATTATTAGCACAGTTCATAAGGCCAGGGTCTACAGTTATACGCATTTTTGACAGGGAAATTAAAGAGGATTAGAGAGTTTAATTACAGAGATATTTTAACAAATCCATCGCTGAATTTCAGCTGTTTACTAAATTTTAGTTCTTGGGATTGGGGAGACAGGGAGTTACCTCTACTTAATATTTTCGAATTTTTCTCTCATTTATTCAGTTGCTATACACATATAGAAATGAGAAAAAACTTTTCTTATGTTAAAAGAAGAAACTTCTCCTGCCAGGCCACACAGGAAACAAAACATCAAATAGTGAAATGTTCCTCCTAATATATGTTTATAATGAGTTATATCAAAAGTAAAGAAAAAGACACAACTTATTACAAGACATCAAGGGGAGGATTCACAGATCTGAAAAATAAATTCATCTAAGAGACAAACAAAACCCAAGTTCCTAAATATAGAGACTTCTAACAGAAAAATCTATTAGAGATGGTCACATTCATATTTTCAAATTCACGGATTAATTTTTGGCTCTGGTTTTTTGTTTTATTTTGCTTTTGTCTTTTACTCATGGTATAATTAAATACCACGAATACCCTCTATTCCCAAATTAAAGAAGAGAAAACATAAGGAACATTCCAAATAAGCTATTTGGTGCCGATGAGCCAAACAAAAGGTCATCTTTTCCCTTCGGTCCAGGCACCCAGGCACACTAGTTTGTCTTGGTATTTTTCTAGTCCAGCCTCCAGAAGACACTCTCTCAGCTCTGTGCTTGACAATTTGCTTCATTCACTGTAATGTTGCAACTCATTAGAAGGGTCCTGCACCAATTCAGTGAGCCTAGGATTTTGGTACATCACTGAGCTTAGTGTTGTTTATTAAATGTTTGTTTCAGGGGTGTGTGTGTGTGTGTGTGAGTGATATGTGTGAATGTCGTGTGTGTATTGGGAGATGCTGTAAGATGTACTGTTTACTGTGGGTCACAGCCACAAAAGTCTGAAAGCTACTGGGACAGAGCAAGAAAAAGGTATAATACAGAACCCTCCCACTCAGATCTTTGGACGCCTAGAGAAAAAGGTGTAAAAATAATGATCAACTTCATATATTTTAATGTAAAAATACTTTTAACTGGCATTTTCTTTACTCACAGATGCCAGTGCAAGCCTTACCTGAAAGTGTCCTTTGGTAAGAAAGATACTGATGTCTCCACAAAGAAACGGCAGATCTCTCTCGATTCTGCAGTCCATTTAGTCTTTCTGCTAGCCCGCCTCTGTTCAACAAATTATAATGTATTAAGCTTAGTTAAAAGAAAAGCTTCAGAATAGTTGGTACATTTATATTTTATACCCTCCAATCAGGGACAAATAAAGCATTCAAATTTTAACTTGTTTGGCAATACATTCTCTTCCTAGAGGCCAAATCCTTCTAGGTTAGTAATCTCCTTTTTAAAGATTTCTCGGAAGATCAGTTTTCTGATTCTTAGAAATACGGGCTCCTCTGAGATCAGTATGACTTCCTGACTATCCTTTCTTAGTTTACTTATTCCATATATATGTCCTGATTACATGTTTCCTACTCTACCTAGCCAAGCACCAGGTGCCAAGGGTACAAAGAAGGCAATAAGCCATGTCACGGTGGGCCTTACAATCTGATCAGCAGACGGGCAAACAGATAATTGTAAAATGGGTTCAGAGTTGTAGTCAAGAATAAAACCTGTACACTGTTGATAGGTGGAACACTCAAAGAAGGATTTGGGTATGGGCTCATTACTTGGCCCACAGAGATAATTGAGTATTAATCATAAACATACAGCAAGGATACCAATATTATACAAAGAAGAAAACTTCCATGTATGACAGGAAGACAATTCATAACAATGGACATACAGGCACTTCACAAGAGCCGTGACCTATCAATGACTAGACAGATAGATAGATAGATAGGTAGGTAAATTATAAATTCATATAAACACACATTTTTTTAAATTCGTAAACTACCTATACTCAGAAGTCAGCAGCTCCTAACACATCTGTGATCTTAAGAGAAATCAAGATCAGCTGTTAATCACCGTTATGACTACATGTTATATAATTTATCAATGTATTATCTCATAAAATTATGTTCACTGATCATTTCACTACATTATCTCGTTTTATTCTAATAATATCCCTTTGAGGTAGAAAGAACAGACATCAATATCCACCTCATACATTATAAAATTAGAGCTTAGAGAGAGGTTAAGAAAATTCTCCAATATTGTATAACTAGCCAGATGAGGAAACATTCTTGAAATCAGAAAGAACTGAGCACAGTGTATGGCATTTAGTAAATCTTCAAAAAATGTTAGTCACTGGTGTTACTGATTCTGTTAGATTTTTACTTGCACCCTATGCTCTTTCCACAATGATTGAAGGATCTTACTTTAAAACATATTATATATATATTGTCACTACCAACTACTTTGTTTTCCTATAGGTAGCTGTTTTTCTACAGGCAGTAATTATTTCTGAATACGTGTGTGTGCAAGCAATATATATAACAGCAATTTTTTAAAAATTATCATAATCACATATATGCCAAAGAATCTCTACTTTATATATATGCAAGCCCTTCTTATCATTCTGTTTACAGGAAGTAACTCATTTATACACCCCCTCTAAACAACACCACAAAAGAAGGTACTACTGTCATCTTTACTTTACAGATGATGAACAGAGACACTGAGTGTGCAGCACTGCAGGTGAGACATCTGCTGAGGGCACAGCTGGATGCATGCCACGCAGTCTGGCCCCAGAGATCACAAGCTTAGACTCATGATCTCATGATGTACCTACTGCCTCTTGAAAAATACTTACTACTTAATTCCCCCAAGTCTTAATTCCTTTATTTTGGTGTTGTGTTAAATTGAATAGACAGAGATGTTTCCCTTTGTTTTATACCATATAAGACTCTATATAGTATGTTTGTGAAAGACTGAACTAGAATAATGAAAGTTTGTTTGCAAAAAAAAAAAAGAATACTTACTACTTAAAGAACTAATCCTAACCCTGAACGAACTTTTTGGCCAACCCATTATAATAAACACAAGAAAAAAAGCAAAACACTGTGTTCTTTGAACTATGGTTTAGATAATTATTTGCCAAATGTTGGTTTTCAATCTTATCAGATTTCTTTAGAGAGAAGAAAAAAAAAAGACAAAATACAATCTGAAAGAAGTATATAGTTAATGCCAAGCCCTAGAATCTCACAGATAGAAAGCAAGAGTAAAAATGAAGGCAGAAGAGTTCTCCACAGGCGGGAGCATCTGAAACCGTAATAGAGAATCTGCATTTCCACCTTGGTTTTAGTCATAGGGTCACAGGATACCTCTGCTCCAAGAATACCTGCAGGGAATTCTGAGCTGGTGCACCAGACTTAGGAATGGAAACACCATGACCTCTAGTCAACAATCATAATTCTAGTAAAAAACCTCTCGTACATTAAAAAAAAAAAAAAAAGGTTCAAGAAGGCTCTGCTACAATACATGCAAATTAACTCTTTTTCTGTTTTCTTTTTCTTTTCAATTTTATTGAGATATATTTGACAAATAAATCTGTAAGCATTTACAGCGTACACTGTGGAGATTGGATACATGCGTGCATGTTAAAGGACCCCCCCATTTACTCAACTGACAGATCCACCTCCTCACATATTTATCTTTTTATTTTTCATGTAAACATTTAAATTCTACTCTCAGCAAATTTCAGTTGTACAGGTAGTGTTCTGAATAAACATCACCCCATGTGTACATTAGATCCTCCTAACTTATTCACTCTATGACTACAAGTTTGCACCCCTTTTGTATGAATATATTCCCAGAAGTGGGATTGCTGGATAGTATGGCAGATCTATTTTTAATTTTCTTAGGACCTCTGTACTGCTTTCCATAGTAGCTGCAGCAATTTTACACTCCCACCAACAGCACACAAGCGTTCCCTTTTCTCTACATCCTGGTCAACACTTGTCATCTCTTGTCTTTTTAATGATACCCATTCTGACAGACATGAGGTGGTATCTCAATGAGTTTTGACTTGCATTTCCGTGATTATTACTGATGTTGAACACCTTTTCACATACCTGTTGGTCACTTGGATGTCTTCTTCGGAAAAATGTCTATTCAGTTCTTCTGCTCATGTTTAAAATCAGACTTTGATATTTTTGCTATTGAGTTGTGTGAGTTCATTGTGTTTTGGATATTAACCTCATCAGATATGAGCTGCAGATAGTCTCTTCCATTCTGTAGGCTGCCTTTTTCATTTTGGTGACGGTTTCCTTTGCTGTGCAGAAGCCTTTTAGTTTGATGTAGTTCCATTTGTTTATTTTTGCTTTTGTTGCCTTTGCTTTTGGTGTTAAATCCCAAAAATTCATCACCAGGACCAAGGTGAAGGAGATTACCACCCATGTTTTCATCTAAGACTTTTATGTTTTCAGGTCGTCCATTAAAGTCTAATATATTTTGAGTTGTTTTTGTGTGTGGTGTAAGATAGGGGTCCAGTTTCATTCTTTTGCATGTGGCTGTACAATTTTCCCAACACTATTTATCGAAGAGACTATCATCTACCCATAGTATATTTGCGCCTCCATTGTTGTAAGTTAATTGACTATATATGCACAGGTTTACTTCTGGACTCTCTATTATGTTCCATTGAAGTATGTGTGTTTTATACCAATACCATACTCTTTCGATTACTACTGCTTTGTAATATAGTTTGAAATCAGGAAGTGTGATGCCTCTAGCTTTGTTCTTCTTTCTCAAGATTGCTTTGGCTATTCGGGGTCTTTGTGGATCCACATATATTTCAGGATTGTTTGTTCTATATCTGTGAAAAATGCCACTGGAATTTTGATAGGGATTGCATTCAATCTGTAGATGGCTTTGGGTAATATGGACATTTTAACCATATTAATTCTTTCAATCCATAAGCACAGGATACCTTTCCATTTACTTTTGTCTTCCTCAATTTTTTTCATCAATGTCGTATAATTTTAAGTGTAGAGATATTTTTTACCTTTATTTCCAGGTATTTTAATGCTTTTTGATGCAACTGTAAACAGGATTGTTTTCTTAATTTCTACTTTGGATAGGTTTGTGGTTAGCATATAGAAATGCATCTGATTTTGTATACAGAGATATTGGGGATTCAGTTCCAGACCACCACAATAAATTTAATATCACAATAAAGCAAATCACATCAACTTTTTGGTTTCCCTGTATATATAAAAATTATGTTTACAGTATACTGTACTCTAAGTGTACAACTATGTCTTAAAAAATGTACATACCTTAATTTTAAAATAATGCTATTAGAAAAATGGCATAGAAACACAGGGTTGCCACAAACCTTCAATTTGTAAAACAAACAAACAAAAATGCACAATATTTGCAAAGCACAATGAAGCAAAGCTTAATAAAATGAAGTATGCCTATACTGATTTTTGTATCCTTTGCTGAATTCATTTATTACTTCTAACGGTTTTTTGGTGAGTCTTTAGGTTTTCCTGTATAATATCATGTCATCTGTGAACAAGTTTTAATTCTGATATGTGGATGCCTTTTATTTCTCTTTCTCGCCTAATTACTCTGGCTTGGATTTTCAGTACTATGTTAAATAAAAGTGACACGAGTGGCATCCTTGTTGTTCCTGATATTACAGGAAAAGCGTTGACCTTTTCACTGTTGAGTAAGGTATCAGCTGTGGGCTTGCACTCTGTGGCCTTTATTATGTTGTGGTACATTCCCTTAACACGCAGTTGAAATTTTTTTCATGAGTGGATGAGGTTATTTGTCAAAGCATTTTCTGCATCTATTGAAATGACCATATGATTTTTTTCTCCATTTTGTTAATATGATGTATCATGTTGACTGATTTGTGGAAGGTGAACAATCCTTGCATCCCTAGAATCAATCCCAATTGATCATGGTATATAATCCTTTTAATATATTGTTGAACTTGGTTTGCCAACACTTTATTGAGGATTTTTGTGTCCATGTGCTTTAAGGATATTGGTCTGTAATTTTCTTTTCTTGAAGTGTCCTCGTCTGGTTTTGGTATCAGGGTAATACTGGACATGTAAAATGAGTTTGGAGGTGTTGAGTCTGGAGGTGTTCTCTTCTATTTTTTGAAAGAGTTTGAGAAATATTGGCATTAATTCATCATTGAAAATGAAACAGAATTAAATAGTGAAACCACCTGTTCCGAGACTTTTCTTTGCTGTGAGGTTTTTGATTAC